AATATAATTTTATTATTATTACAATGTGAGTGATTTTGAAGTAAAACAGGAAGGATTTCGGTATTATTACGTTAATACTGTTATTACCAGTATGTGAGTTATCGTGAACGAAGACAGAAAGGAGTTCAATATTAGAACTTGCCGCTTTTAAGAAGGACAGGGGGGAGGGGGGGGGGGCTATCCCGAAAAATGCTGTTTTGAGAAAATCGAAGGTAACATTTTTAGACCCCTGTTCAGTTTCTTTGAATGACAAGGAGAGTTTTCTCTATAACCAAACAATAAATATGTACACATCAATGAAACCAAACTTCTCCTGTAGGTAGGACAATGCCCACTTTTGGTGTAGGACAAGATTTCAGGAAAACCCCCAAAACCTGGGTTAGCCCGCTTGTCCTTAAAAGCGACCAACTATGTAAATGAACTAGGATATCCACAGAGGAAGGGATTTTATAATTATAATTACTACCCGTATTTGAATGATCTTGAACAAAAACAAGAATAAATTCCAAATGATTACTATATGAGTGAACTGCCAACAAAAACACAGAAAGGGGTTGAGCAGTTTTTCTAACTATGTGAGTTTGGTCAACCATTCTATATGGCTGTGAATACTGGACAATCACTAAAGACAGTGAAAATAAAATAGAGACAACAGAAATGTGGTTTCTTAGGAGACTGCTAAGAGTATCGTGGAAGGAAAAGAAATCAAATGAGGTAGTGCTTGATGAAGCCCACGTGGGACACTCAATGTTAAAAACAATCAGGAAACGACAAATGCAGTTTTTGGGACACCTGAATAGACATAAAGGTCTTGAACATCTAGATCTCACTGGCAAAAGTGAGGGCAAGCGAGGCAGGGGTAGGCCCAGAACAATATACTTAGGGAACCTAAACACATGGGTAACAGGGAAAGATCAGGGAAACGTAGCTTTTCTGAGAGCATCCGAGCAAAGGAATGAATGGAAAATCATTATCGCCGATGTCTGTTGCAGATCTGGCACTGGATGATGACGTGAGTGATGTTCAACAGAAACAGAAAATAATTCATGACCATTATTATGTGAGTTATCCTGAAGAAAACACAAAACGGAATGTTTTTAACAATAGATCTAAGGGTGCCCTTAACTGTACACAGAAAGGAGTTCTATAGATTTGATATGTCAGTTAATAATAATAATAATAATAATAATAATAATAATAATAGTAAAATAATAATAATAATAATAATAATAAAGTAGATCATTTCTATAGCGCCCACTAACGTGTGAACACACCTCTAGGCGCTTTACATACATGCATGTAAGAACAATATTCACGCAAGCACACACACACACACATACATACACACACACACACACACACACATACACACACACACACACACTCATATACACACATCCACACATACACACACACACACACGCGCGCGGCGCGCACAATTAAACAAACACAATCTTTCTTTTAACTTCTTCTCTCTATATTATTTATGTTAGTATCTTGTAAAATTTCTAATCTTCCCATTACCTACTTGCGTTGCAAGTGCCGTAAAACTCTTGCTTACTTTTACTTTTATCTGCCGCTTATACCCTTTTGTGTGTCTCGGGAAAAAACTCTTACTGAAACTAAAACTATGTAACAAATCAGCGAGACCCTCCAAGCCTTCCCACGACGTACAAAGAAGGTGAATGTAAGGAAAGCCCCTCTGGTGACTTGAGCGTCCACGCTGAAGGTCTCGGCGACAGACACGACCTCCTTGAAGACTGAGGTCAGCCCAGACACTGTGATTGTCTCATAGTACGTCGTTGTCTTCTCTAACGAGTCGGACTGATACCACGCTCTCACCAGGAGAGGTGTATCGCCTGCAGGGAGGGAGGGAGGGAGGGAGGGAGGGAAGGAGGATACACACACGATATTAGATATATTTTTCGTGAAAATATGTGCGTGTGTATCTGTGTGTGTGGGGGGGGGGGGGTGAGTGGGTACTCGTGTGTGAGAAGGAGAAGTGTTTGTTTGTGTTTGGGGGGGGGAATAGGAGGGAAGAGGAGGGGCCCCAAAGAGAGGGAAGGCCGCGAGCGCAGAGGCAAGGCAGAGGAGAGATTGTGTGTGTGTGGTGAGATACGAAGAGAGGTGAGGTGTGGAGGAGTGGCAGTGTGATGTACTAAATGAGAACGAGCAGACTGAGGAGTATCGTGCCAGAGAGAGAATGTGAGCAGCGAGCAGCGAACGTATAGGTGGGTTGTTGAGTTAGGAACTGTACGGGTAGCATCTAAAATAGCAAGTGCCAATGATCAAGACAAGGTCGATTACTTTATATTCC